CAGGTCGCGCAAGGTACGCTTGACCCTTCCTCTCCTCTAAGCTTATCTGACATAGAATGGGATTCGGAGGGTATTCAATTGTTATGCGATTGTGGTAATACTTTTGAATTGCGAGAGCGGTTAGATAGGCCTGACGGTTGCGTTTTAGGGTTAGAGGGGGGGCCTTGGTCGATACAGCTACTTCTCTAGCTGAGCAAGGGGCCACCTCTAAGGTCGGGGACAACCTTGTCACCTTCGGTACGCCCGCTTCTGGAGGCGGTTCGACGACAAGATCGCCTCTTGTTGAACTGTCGTCGAAGAGCGCTCCAAGAGATGATCCCGAGGATAGGGACGCGGAGGACTCCGTTGCCAACTCTCCATCTCTGGCATTGTAAGAGGCGCCTCTTGTCCACCCCTTTTAAGCGGTTGCGGACGATACGTACCGTGTGCGCCTTCACGAAGATATGTGGGAAGACGAGGAGGTTCCTGCGGCCGTATATGAATATGAACCGCCCTACGACCCTGCGTACTCCCCCGTTCAAGTGCTCAAGCAACTAAAGCGGCATCAGTTGCCGACTGACTGGGAATATGCCGCTCCTTCCACGGCCGGTCGCTGTGGGTCATGCCCGGTGGGATGGATCATTGTTTTGGTGGTGCACGTGCGGTTAGGCTTTGAATTTCCTCTGGACCCACTGCTGACTGAGATTTTGCTACACCTTAACTACTCTTTGAGCCGCCTTTCTCCCTCTATCGTCTTTCATTCCCTTTGCTACCGAGCGGCTTGCGACCGGTTGAAGAAGGAGTCGTCTATCGATGCCTTCCACCTTATGTACGGCATAGGCGGTTCCAAGAACTGCTGGTCTTGTCGTAGGCGTGACAAACGCATAGGGTTTGTCTATGGGTCGCCAAAGCTGGATTCTCCTTGGTACACGGAGTACTTCTTCGCTCGTCCAAGCGGGAAATGGTACTCGGGTGAGAGCGAGCCACTGACTGGGTATGTGATCGGGAATAAAGATGATTGGGATGCGGGGGTTAAAGGCCTTCATCACCTAAAACCTCATCTGAAGCGCATCATGTCGACCGTCCAATTTCGCTTACCTCCGCATGGGCATGATAATGCTCTTGAGATCGTTCGGCGTTTTCACTGTTAGTTAGTCTTCTTTAGTTGGAATATGATGGTGATTTCTCATGTCCTCTACTTATGGGATTACTTTGCAGACATCCGGCGGTATGCCAGCTCGCAGTCTGCCGCCCCTTCAGCGCCGAGCGGTTCGGAGGGGCAACACACCGCCGGCGGTAAAACCCAATCGCAGTTAGCACTGGGACCCTCGGGGGTGCTGAAGCTAACAGTACCCGCCGGTCAGGGAGCGGGCCGCGGCGCTACGAAGCGCCCTCTAGAAGCTGAGGCGGCCAAGGAGAGTCAGCCGCCCGCGGGGCAGCAGAAGATGAAGGGCATCCTCATCGAGAAGCCGCGCTCCGACCCTCTAGCTTCCTACTCGGCCCATAAAAGGCAGAAGACCATCGAGCTCACTTCTAGTGCGTCCTACTCTCTGCACATGACCACTTCCGTTGAGCCGGCTAAGCGTGCCATGCACGTTATTGCCGAAGGGTTCGCAGTTCCGAGTGAGTATACCCGCGTGACTGGGACTACCGTGCTGACTTTCGACACTCGCCATCTGGCCGCGGTGACCGCTCGGTATTTGACTTGTTTATTTATCTGCTTGCTAACTACTTACCTTATTTTTGTTACGCAGGCTCAGTTTAGGATTAACCAACTGATGCTTCACAATGACCGACTGCAAGGCGACCTGGACGACCGCGACACCCGGATTGTGAAGCTGGAGGATCAGCTGGCGGAGGGGCGAGACGGGTTGCGGCAGGAATTGCCTGACGAGATCCTTAAGGAGCAGGAGACCGTCTTGCAAGCCAAAGACGCGGAGCTGGCAGTATTTGGTGATATCCTGAGAACATGTCCAGGAAGCTCAGAGTTTTATGGTTAGCCATGGCGTCTATCAGTTGGTCTATTCGAGGTAGGGGATATGCGTCCTTGGGACAAGCCGCGTTGAGACTCATGAAATCGATGCACATCCGCATAGGCCAGACGCATTTCGCACGAAGACTGGGTTTGCTAACCAGGTTGGGTACTTGACCTCCCTGATGAACCCCACTTTGAGCAAGCGGTTGACTTCTTCCTCCAAGGCCATCTGTTTTTCGAGGGAGGCGTTCCTCCTCCTCTGTTGCACCGGCTTTTCCTTACTTTTCACCGCTAAGGAGTGCTCAGCCAGCTCCCTTGAGACGTCGGGCATGTCTTCTGAGCTCCACGCGAACAGGTCTTTGTATTCTTTTAGGAGGGATAAGAGCTCCCGGGCCCGTTCTTCTGAGAGGTGAGATGAGATCCTTACTTTTTTCTCTGGTTCCTCCTCAACGAGGACTACGGCGGTGTCCTCTTCGGCCGCCTCCGGACGCGGATGGCTTTCTCGTGTGTCCACTTGATCGACCTCCAAATACCTGATCGTGGCTTGATAACATTCCTTCGCTTGCTGCGAGTCTCCCCGTACGCATCCCACTCCTCCCTTCGTAGGGAACTTTAGCATCTGATGGCAAGTGGAAGAGACCGTCGAGAACATAGATAGAAAATCGCGCCCCAAGATGGCATTGTACACGGATGGACAGTCGGCCACGTGAAAAGTCATGAGGTGGGTTTTGGTTGCCTCTGCGCCCCCTATGCTCACTTGGAGTGTTATGGACCCTAACACTCTGACTTTGGACCCAGAGAAACCTACCAGGCTAGTGGTAGACGGCACGAGATCTTGTATTCCCTTCTTCATGCTTTTTAAGGTGTAGTAAAACAGGATGTCGGCGGAACTCCCATTGTCGACCAGCGCCCTGGTGACCTTAAATTTATTTGTCCGAAAAGATATGACCAACGGGTCTTCCCCACACTCTTCGGGCGCTAGTTCCGAGGGTGCGAAGCTAATCTCAACCTGCTCTTTCATGTGCACGTTCATGCACTGGACAAGTCGCTCTCCTTCAGTTCGCGGGCGTTTGTGCCCGCCCGCGATCGTGATGACTTCTACATCGTCTTCGTCAGCGCGATATTCGTGTCGGGGGGGAGCATGCCTAGAAGGTGGCGGGAGGCGGTCTCGTCTAGGTGACCGTTCTTTCCTAGGAGACCTGGATCTCCGCCGTCGGGGTTTGTGGGATCTCCTCCTTGGGCTCCGTGACCTATCTCTTTCTTCCGCTCGACTTTTGTCGTGCGTCCGGGTGTCCAGACGGCTCCTCAAATCGCCAGGGGCTAAGTACTTGAGGCTGGCCTTGAACTCACGGCACTCGGTGGTGTCGTGAGTCGCCAGTTGGTGCCAGTCGCACCACTTTTCATCGTCTTCCCTTCGCTGTCGGGGACGCCTCTCCTTCGAGCTGCCCCTCCCTCGGCGCCCGTCGTCTTCCCTTTCGGCGGTAAACACTTCTCGCCTTCCTTCTTGGTTTTTGTATCGGGATTTGTAGTTCCGCCTGTCGGGCGAGCGTCTCCTTCCTTTTGGCGATCCGCCTTTTCCTTTCTCCGCCTTCGCTGTCTGAGTGTGTGTCCCCTTAGTGCCGTCTTCCGTCGTTAGCGCTTCCTCCAAGAATATAGCCTTCATCACCAAACGGTCCAGATCTGGCCAAGACCCTATGTTGCTTTCTTTTTTTATGAGGGCCCTTTTTAGCTCTCGGCTATGCGTGGACATCCTTAGGTTTCCGGCGGCCACGCTAGCCGATATGCCCTGGACTTCACACGCTATCGTATTCCAACGGTCGTAGAAATCCATCAGCGTTTCTTCCTCCCCTTGCCTGCAGTTCATGAGTGTTGACACTGTAAGCTGCCTCCTTCGCTGTGACGCGAATTTGGACGAGAATAGGGACTGCTCGAAGTTTTCAATAATTCCCTCTGGCAAGGACGCGCACCAACTCCAGCATTGACCGCTGAAGGTAACGGGAAACGCCTTGCACATTTCGGCATCTGAGGCGTTTATCAGCTGCATCTTGAGCATGAAGGCGCTCAGGTGGCCTGACGAGTCTGAGTTTCCCACCATAAGCGGGTAGCCCTAGTGACGAGAAGTTCGAGGGCACTTGAGTTCTGAACAGACTCTTTGCCAAGGGGTTCTGCAGAACATTGTAAGCTTTCACTTTCTGGTAGGTGGATCGAAAATGCTATTCTAAAAAGTTGAAGGGGGCGCCTTCTGTCCCGTCCTCTTCTTCAGATTTCCCGCCTTCTGTCCGAGCAGGGCTAACGGGAATCTCTCCTTCTACTCCTTTGCCTTTTTCTTTCCGCTTGCTGGCATTTTCTGGCTCGTCTCTGGCTTTGAGCATGGCGAGGATCTTACCTAGGCTTTCCTGCATGCTAGAGATCTGTTGGCCTTGCTCTTTCACACGTTCCTCCATGTCTCTTTCTTCCTCGACCGTCGGCATTTCCAAACCTCTGATTCCTTCCCTACCAACCACGTCCTTGATCGGAGTTCCGGAGCTCCCGTCCATCCTTTCTTCAGTGCTTCACCTCTGCCCCACGGTGGGCGCCAAATTGTTTGTGCCTAGTAAATACTAGGTGGTTTGTAGGACAGGGGTGATGCGTCTGTTCTTGGAAGGAGGGCGCACTCCAGATCTCTGCAAAACAAGGATCCGTGGGCGGTTACCCGGGACACCCTCCAATGCTTAAGTTAGATAGAGAAGTGTATAGTAATGTGTTTGTTCTGGAGAGAGAGAGAGAGAGAGAGAGAGTAGTTGAGTTTGCCATCAATGCTCTCATGGTGCATTTATACCTGGTGTTGTGGTGGTTGAGTCATTTAATGTTACGTCAGGCGTCCCTGAAAGATCTTCTCCCTAGGTTGACCGCCTGCGACGAGCAATAAATTTCAGTCTTACCCAGCCCGAGGTACGTATCTCAACGGATCTTTGCTTTCTATCATGGTCAGTCGCTTTATGTCAGGCCGTTCTGGACACTCCTTGGGTTTGGAGTCAGCCTAAGACCGCCTGTCACCCTGGTCTCCCTGGCTGGGTCGGATACTCCATTGGGCAACTGGTGGGGAGAAAGTCGATGCTGCCACCCGGTGCCTGAAATTTATGACATTCTAAGGAAAAGCTATGACAAGTTAAATGACAAGCAGCTGCCACTGTTACTGGATGTTGCTTGCTTCCTCCATGGGATGTTGAGATCTAGACTTTTAAACTTTACGAAAACTAGTTGCTACGATGCCTATAGTGATGTAAAGGATCTAATCAATAAGTCACTACTGGTTTGTGTCTATGGCAAGGATGGCAAGACGATTGAGGTGCACGCTTTGCTTAAATACATGGCTTGGCAAATTGTTAACGCGGAACGGGAGCTTCGAAAGCGGAGCAGGCTGGAGAATCCTAAAGACATCACTGAATTAATGCATACTCTTAAGGTATGCTTCATAGTGAAAGTTAGTTTTCTTATTTTTGTGCTTTCACTTTCTGTCCACGCCAATCTGTGTTATAATGTGTGGTTTCCTTTTAGGGAACTGACATAGCAACTGAAGCCATAAATCTGAACCTTTCCAAAATCAAAGACATGAATCTGGAAGCCAGTGCTTTTCAAGGGATGAACTCACTTAAATGGTTAAAATTATGTTGATCTCAAGCCTACCGGGTGGCAGCATCGACTTTCTCCCCACCAAGTTAAGGGGCCTACAATGGGATATCTACCCTTTGAGATCATTACCATCAGGATTTTCTCCAAAAAAAAAACCTCTAGATACTTGCTCTGCGCGATAGTCATATAGTGAAATGTTGGGAAGGAGAAGGACAATCTCAGGTATATTATATATGCAACACATAGCCTTTACTATTTTTCAGTCTAGCTATCAAATGTTTGTTGATTCCTTCATTTTTCCTTTTTGTGTTGGTTATGATGATGACATGCTGCAAAGCTTGTGAACCTGGTGGAGCTTGACCTTTACGGCTGTTATTATCTCACTGCACTCCTAGACCTGTCCATGTCTAAACATCTTGAGGTCCTCATACTCCATGATTTCAAAAGCCTGGTTGATCTACCTTCGTACGTCAGATATCTCGACAAACTACTGAGGTTGGATGTCGAAGATTGTTGCAACTTAGAGCGCATTCCAACCAAACTTAAGTCTAAGCACCTCAAGTATGTGTTAATGTCCAAATGTTTCAAGGTCACCCATTGTGCGGATATTAATTCAAAGGAGCTAGAGATTTTGGATTTAGATAGGATGCCTATCAGTGTAGCACCGCCGGCTTCTATCTACAACAAGATGCAGCAGCGTGGCATCCTAAGTCTAGATTGCCCAGAGACCATCAGTTTCCCTCAAGTTCCGGCAAGGTTAGAGAAGTTCAGTCTGTCCAACACGTCGATAACAAAGATCGAACTTCAAGGTCAATATCATTTTGAGTCAGCTTTAGATGGGCCAAGGTTTGGGAGGCTGCGGTTGGTTAATAACTCCAAACTGGAAAGCCTGCCCTTTAATATCTGGTAGATGGTGTCAAGAGAATTTGTTGTTAATGCCAGCATGTTGCTTAAAACTTTGCTGGGAAATCTTGGAGGCAGTGGACATGGAGGGCTTCACTTGGCTTGCTATAACAAGCTCCAAGCTTCTCAAGCATGTTCCATCGACCATCAACAATATGAAATTCCTGCAGGTTCTCAATTTCTCTGGCACGACTATTGAGACCTTGTCGTCATGTATTCAGGAACTAAACGAGTTGTTGATGCTAGAACTGAGCAACTGCTCAAGGCTTGAGTCCATCCCGGACATCATTCACAAACTTGCCAAGCTATCATTATTGATTGTGATGGGGAGCAAGAGGCTTACTTTGTTACCACGACTTCCACCACGCCTCAAGCTTTTGTCTGCGAGATTTTGCAAGTCCTTACGAGCTCTTCCAAGCGACATAGGCAGGATGAGTTGCCCTGTAATGTGGTTTGATTGTTGCTCGCAGTTGGATCGGGCTTTGCTTGCCGACATGGTATCGGGTTTCCTCCAACAAGTCATGCCTCTGTATTCTCAGATATGGTAATATTATCTTTTTGTGTTGATGATTGATCTAAGATTCATTCTTAATCTCTCTTAACAGTTGTTTTTGTTATTGGGTTGAACCAATTTTTTATATGATGTTAAAAGTTGTTAATGGACGTAAACACTAAAGTTCAATGTCTCTGCAGGGTTCTCGTTTGTATCGAGAGAATGAACTTCCGGAACGGTTTCTTTACCAAAGCGAGGAAGGCATGGTCTTTGTAACGACGACCTTGTCTGTGAGCAAAAGATGAAGAAAATCACAGTAGGTGTCCTGACTACTTCACAGCCCCGCGGGTTTATGTAGAAGATGACATGCAGCTGCTACATACATAATGATTCTATGGATGGAGGCCGCCCCGGCAGCAGCATTGGTGCCCGTGTTGCATCTTGGAGGAGTTCTATGTTGGTTGCCTTCGACGATGACAGCTCAAGTTTGTTAGTGTGTGGTATATGATCCACGATTGAACCTCTCCCAACAACTCGAGTTATTGGGATCAATTGGTTCTTGACATGGTATCAGAGCCTTATGTGACCGAGAGGTCTTGTGTTCGAATCCTGGTAACCCCCATTTGTTAAGCACATGGTATGTGGACCTGTACAAACTTCAAGCCCTTGTGAGTGGCTTTCGTTTGAGGGGCGTGTCAGTGTGTGGTATATGATCCACGATTGAACCTCTCCCAACAATTCGAGTTATTGGGATCAATTGGTTCTTGACAGATGTTCATCTGTGGTTTGGAGACAATTTAGATCATCGCCCGACCACGAACGAAGATCAAGAAGAGGAAGAAAAAGAAGACTGGTATGTGAAATATGCCAGGGACACTGTTCTATTCTATTTCTACCATCAGGGTGGCGAGGAGTTGAGAATCAAGAAATGTGGCATTTTTTTGCTCTATTGATTGTAATTTTATAGTTTTGGGTGTGTAATTTTTCTTAATATGTTGGTCGTTCGAATTCGAAGAATGATGGATCGTGCTTATTGAAATGTGTAAATCAAATGAAAGACTGGCGATGAATTGGTTTATAATTTTGGGTGACGGTTTCCTCTACTAATTGATATTAGATAGTTTTGTAATGTATTCATCTTTTCGTCCATATGTGTTATACCTTTGTGGCCTCAATTAGTCAACCCCTGTGCAACGAGTATTTATCTACCCCAGTTTTTGGATAGTTGTTGTTAACTTCGCTTGGGAGAAGAATTTGTGAAAACGTTCACTCTATTTAGTATTTACTTGGCTCTCCCACTCTCTCCAACTACTCATGGAGACATTCCGGTTCTCAACTCTTTTGCCTCAAGTGGTCCATTCAGTTCAGCTACGCGACCCGATAACATGTCAAATTTTGAACATTTCGTTTATTTTGAATTTACAATACTTTGAACTATACGATCCGGTAGCGTACCACTACTCATTGGTACCGTACCACTAGACGGAAATCAGTACCACTAGTGCATTGACGGAGTGGTTTTTTTTCTTTTTTGCAGATCGCCGGAGCGAGTCTGATTGAAGGATTTCATTGGGAAATAGTTTGTCGGTCGGAGAAAGTTTCACAATCGGAACGAAGAGGCTGTTGAAAATGAAGAGAGAGATAGAGAGAGATATAAATATATTAATTTTAGGATTTAAATTAAAAAAAACATGTATTTAATATGGGTTTTTAATTCCCATTTTGTAAATAATACAAAAAAAATTAATAAATTCTGTTTTTTTTGTCATACCCAAATTGCCCTTGGATGTGAAACTCACATCCCCAACAGGGGAAGTGACGTTATCCCATCACCCCTTTCCTCTCTCTTCTTCTCCCTCTTTAGGGTCAGATCGGGGGGCTTTCTAAAGGCCATTTTGAATCCCGACTCATGTCGGGCCGGGTCCAACTGGGGGCCCGATAGGAGTTTAACAACTTTGTTCCCAAGTTATAATATTTTCCCAAAATGCAATAGATTGTTTAGATGTCCCGAATGGACAAGTGCAATAGATTGTTGAAATACGAGAAAGATGGAATTAACAATGCAAAAATTAGTAGCGCCCGAGGAAAACAGTGAAGAATGACAACTTAGGATTCCACCGATAATTTTTCAAGATGAGCTACGAATTGGTGGGCGAATCTGCAGGCAATAGATGAAAACTCAAATAATAGTTGTCACGAAAAGCCAATGAACAATAGTTAAAAACTTAAGGACAATAACTTTGAAGAGAAACTCAAGAGGACAATAGATGTAAACCAACCGATAATAGCTAAACATAAAAGTTTTTAATTGAGAGAGAGGTAAAAGGTCTACCAAAATTGAGTTTGGAAGAAAGGTATATAAGTGAATGAAAAGCAAATCACATGGAGATTGTCTACTTGCATTTGGAGAAGTTGGAGCTACTGATAAATAGTAACTCACATCTTTCTCATTTATAATTCAAAAAAGTAATTTTGTATACACCGATTAATATTAAATAACATCATTTGAACAATTAAAAATTATAAACTAAATGATATGATACTTGAATTCAAGCCAATCTCATGAGCTAATTAATGAGTCATTCTCATATATAGAGTTGGTGCACTCATTAATGAGTTGAACTCCAGTCAAACTCGAACCTAGCACAAGCCAAGCATCTCATAAAAAACCCGAGCTTCAAACCACATTTCAACTAGACTCATTTGACCTCTAATTTTTAGGGCTGAGAATCAGTGCGATTGCGATTAATCGCACCATAATTTGCATTTGACCACAACTAAAACCTAGCCATATACGCCGACCACGACCATACTGCAAACGATTTGCGGTTAACCGCATTACTAACCATTCTTATGATTTGGGGACATTTTAGTCTTTGGTTGTCACTGTGTCACGGTTAATAACCGCAAGTAACCGCGTCGGTAATCTATTAAAATGCAGTTACATTTTTTTCAGTTGCAGTTGCGATTAACCCACAAACCACAAAACATGCAATATTGCTAAACACGACCGCAAAATACACTTTTTCCAGTTTTCAGTGCGGTTAACAATTTAACCATAAAATTGCAACCGAATTCCACCCCTACTAATTTTATAACAAAGGAAGTTGACTCACTACTAATTTTATATATATATAAAAAACTTCTCACCGGATTCGGATGACTTTCACCCATTCAAACTTGCTACTCAATGAATCGAGACCGTTCAATACAATTCGGCAGCCATGCAAGAAGCACACATACATACTTCACAGACACGGAATCTACACCAAGTGAAAGCAGCAATCACACCACCACACAAGCTGGGGGGAAATAACTTCACTTCACAATCATAGAGAGATCATCACATATTTGACAAAATAGAAGGGGCTGGACATGGTTAAATAACAACAAGAGATCCGTACTTCAACAACTTACTCATCATATCTGGTCAAAGCTACGCCACTAAGTACATGTAAAAAGAACGGAGCATTGTGAGCACTGGGATAGAAGGGAGAGAAGACTTGCCCCTTACAGATGTGTTTCCTACAAACCTACAATCTAAACATCAAACTAGAAATCCATACCCGCGCCACATTATAACTAACTCTCCAAGTTAGAAGACGAAGAAGCAACTTCCACTTCACACTGGCAGTATACCAGTTCATCCTCCAAAGTTCTCTACAGCTCAACCTTACTCGTCATCATCTTCCTCCTGCCAAGGGAAACCAATGGCGAAACAGTATGGTTTAGAATACAACATTCCAAAAGTTCAATATCATAAAATGAGAGAGCTACAAATTTGGATTCAGCGTAACCTCTCCGCTGTCATCTTCATTATCATTTACTTCAGATTTGGACTTGTCAGAGTCATCATCACCATGACCTCCAGCCTATTATTCAATACCAATCGAATTCAGGAAAGGAACTGGAAGAACGAAATCTGAAATATAAACAGGAAGCTATACCGGGACTAACTGAAGAAGAGAATAATTAAGCAGTACCTGTTTCTTGTTGTAAGCATCCATGGTCTTCTCATATTCAGCCTTCCTTTTGTCGGCTTTGGCCTTGTAAGGAGCCTTGTCCTGATTTTAACATACACGCAATCAAAGTAAGCGACGGAATGAAAAGCAGAGCATAAGCATGAGCAAAAGGCGGAGCCGCAAAAATTACTCACTGCCTCACTCATGGCCTTCCACCTCTCGCCGGCAGCTTTTCCGACCTAAACCGGTTGGAGAAAAACGAAACAGATTACACCAGTGCACCAGAGAAACGATCATTTGAATTAAGCAATCAATCGGTCACAGATCCAAATTCACGGATCGGAATATAATTATCATCCCGACAGATCCATACGCTGGCCACAGAACAGAGTTATTTAACTTACAGCAGCGACAGATTTGTTGTTAGGATTCTTTTCCTTGAACTCCTTCCTGAATTCCTCCCTGGTAGCAGTTGGCAGAAACACAACGGTAAGGGCGAGAGCGCAGATTATGAAGGCCAGCCAATCAACAAGCGGAAGGAAGTTGCGGAATCAAACGAATATATGAAGAACGAAAACCGAAATCGCATACATGAAGACGAAGAAAGCACTGGGAGGCCTCTTAGGCTTGTTTGGATCCTTAACTGCCTTCTTCGATCTTCCAGCCGCTTTCGGCTTCAACCTGCACAGCAAAAGTCAAACGAACATCTGAATCCGTTCCGCCGAACGACGAGAGAAAAAAAGAAGAGCAGATCAAAACCAATGGAACTAAGACACTCATAGATCTGGAATCGCAACGAAGCCACAACCGGAATGCAATAAGCAGAGAGAGACAGAGAGATGCAACTCACGCGGCGTCAGTCCTCTTGCCATCAGCCTTCGATTTGACTCCTTTCATTACGATTCGATTCCTGCAGAAGCGAAAAGAAGGAGAAGGAATCAGGACTCAACGTGAGCAGGAAAACGAGAAGACCGAGAGTGGAAACGTCTTCCGGCGCCGGCGGAAGGACTCAGTGCTTACCTGCTGTACCTAGTATTATTTTGAGAAAGAGGCGGGGAGAAGGAGAGCGGGAGCGAGAGAACAAGAGAGAATCGGCGGCAGGAGAGTCGTGATTTGTTTGGGAGAGAAGAGGTTTGGAGGAAAAGAGCAAAAGAGAGGTGGGGAGATAAGAAGGGAAGGGTTGGGAAAGGGTTAAAATGAGAGCAAGGGTCTTTTTAGTAAACACTGAAGAATTGGAAAGCTAAAAAATTGAAATCCCGTGGAAGTCGCGGGCTCGGGCGGGATTTCAAAAAAGGAAATTTAGAATTTGGCCACGTCAGCGATCCGAGTGGTCTTGTTGAGAATGCGATGAGAGTGAGTCGCCACTTGCCACTAGGGCGCGTTGGATTGGGAAGATATTTAGATGCAAAGTGGGGCCCATAGATGTGCAACGAATGTGCGGTTGGGGTTCGCAAACCGATATCCACTCTCCTCTTCGTGCGTGTGGCGTGACAGCGGGCGGGTTGGTCGACGCGTGTCCGATACGGAAAGTATAAGTGGCTGGGCCGAAGGAAAGAAAGCGAGCCCAAAGTTCTAAATTCTGCAGAATAGAAGGGCAGGCCCAGAAGAAGAGAAGCCCAATTACGTGGTATCCTCAGTGACGTATCCGTTGCGTCGTCTGTACCAAGGGAGAAGAGGAAGAACAAAACAAACCGAAACAACGAACGAACGAAAACGGAAAGTTTCGGAAAGAAGGAGAAGGCGCGGCCCTTGGAGATTTCCCGTTCTACTCCGAGATTGAACCATGGAAGGCGACGAGGCTCCGCTGCAACGCCAAAGGTCTATCGTGGCTCCTCTGATCTTCTCCATCGTAGTATTGTTCCAGTTGGCCTCGAGAAGGTTGGAGCTCCTGAAGAGGGTAAATTATCCATCTCCCTTCTCCTCCAGCTCAATTGATTCGAAATTCTGGTCTAGCTAAGATCCGATAATGAAATGGCGATCTTCGTTACAATTTCCCGTATGCTCTTTCGGTGGATCCCTGCGCCAGTTATGGATCCTTTGCGTGTTTCGTGATTTTGGCTATCTGGTTGGTTCGTGTGTGCTTTATCAATTTACCAGGAATTAGATGGCCTAATTTACGGACCTCTTATTTGCTTGACGAATTCATCCATGGAGGCTGACTTGTTGTGTTTACAGAACGCCTCTAAGAGCGAGAAGGAAGTTCAACTGCGTGCCGAAATAAAAAGACTCTACAAAGAGGCCAGCACATTCTCACAGTGAGTGATTTCCTTGTTCATTTTGAGTCATAGATTATTGGTGACTGCATTCGTTTGGAACCTTCTTTCTACCGATATGACTAGACCGATTATGTTCCTCAGAGTAATCAGCATGTGGAACCTTCTTATTGATCTGCTTCCATCTTAACAATGCATATACCAAGTCCCGAGCTTCAATTGTGGCGTATTGTGCTTCTTCAACTCCTCTAGTTATTGTTTACTGAGGGTGCTAAACTTTTTAATGTGTTTATTGACAGGCCATCGACGTTTGCTCAAGCGGCCAAACTTAGGAGGTTGGCAGCTGCTAAAGAGAAGGAACTCACAAACTGTAAGGCTACTGGATCAGTATTATCTATTGCTAAATGTTATCTGAGAAACTTGGAAGATCATTATGATTCTTCAGGCCATGTACTTGGCTGCTCCATAGGTGTGGAATATGATAATTTAGATTGTCATATTCAATGGAGAATCAATGATGTTCAGGAAGGCGTGTTTTTTTATGGATATGTCTCTTTTCCCTAATCTAGACATGCATTTCTGTTTGGAGTTTCTATGCTAAAGAATTGTTATCGATTATTAACTCCGTTTTTGTTTGTGCCCTTCTAGATCAAGAGTCACAGGGCAAGGAGGTGAAAATGTCTTATGATTTGTACTTAAAGATTTTGTTTCTCTTAAAGGTGCTTATGCGCAATATTCTTTTTGTAACTGTTGCTAGATTGATTGATTTGTCATAGCAGAAACATAACCCAAATTCTTGAGCAACTGAGAAGATTTTGATTTGGTGCACAGGTTATTGCGTATTTTCTTTTCATTTGTTGGTATTGGAGGGCTCCAGTTGCAGTAGTGTCTCAGCAACTTGTGCAGCCATTTGGTAAGGATTTTTCCTCTCTTATGCGACTCTTCCTTAATCTCCTGCATTAAGCTCTATTCAATGATAGTGTTCCTTGGTTTCATTTCAATCCTTTCATCTATTTACAGGGAAGCTTCTTTCCTGGACTGCTGGTGACCACTTAACTAACAATGTTACGGTAATTCTTTGATATCTCCTTTGACTTTAACCATAACATGTTCTGAATAAGTGTGAGCCTTATGCATTCGAACTACATTTTTCTTTTTGGTCACCCTATTGTTCTTTCCTTATAGTCAGTTCATTAGAGTTATTACCAGCAGAAAGGGACCTCCAAAGCCTATCCTTCAGATCCGACATGGTTGTTTCTTTGCTAACAGGTTTCGTGTTGAAATGTTCAAATCAGTTTAGAGAGTGAGGAATCTAATGTTCCTTTGATGACAGGCTTTGTGGTTGAAATCTTCTGTTCAGTTTAGACAGTGATGAACCTAATGTTCTGCCTTCATTTCCCCACTTTTTTTTTGCTTGATGAATCTTGAAGACACTTTTTTCGATTCTAGCCTTTGTATTATTATGAATTCATAGTCTTTTCGATTTAAAAGCTTAAGCTCTCGACTGTTTTTTGACATTGTATGTGATGTTGCTGCAGGTTGGTGTTATACCTTGGTTGATATTATCTACCAGGGTCAGTAAATTCGTTGCTCGGATCCTTAAGTAGAACAAGTTACTTGATGAATACAAGGACAACTGATCATACTATACCTTCGATTGAAACAAAACAACTGATTGCACATCTTGCATTCTCGTGTAAGCAAACAGGATGAGGGACTTGGGAGAAGTCTGTTCCCTTGTATCAGAATCTATAAGAGGTCATTTCTTTCTTTCTTTCTTTTTTTTTTTTTTTTTCCTTGATGAACTTGTATATTGAAGTTTTGGTATATAGCGAGCCCGCAATAGTGATACTTGCGAGACCTTTCTCGGCATTTTGGCTTAGATGAAGTGTAGTATTCTTGCGAGTTTTCCTTTACGGAAGTGCAAACTTCAGGTTACCAAAAAGAAGTGCAAACTTTTTTTTTTTTTTTTGATAATGGTGAAAATTGAATTAATGAGGAAACAATAAACCACAATCCAGAAGGCGGGAATAGACGTTCACAAGAAGCGAACCCCTGCTGAAAGATAAATACAAAGCAAAAGAGAACCAAAAACTACAAAAACCGCAGCTAGGTGGAGCAGACCACCCCTGAAGCGGGAACGGAAACGGAGCCGCTACCACAGCCCTGCACAAGCGACAGAAAAAGGGGAAAGAACTAGAAAAAATACATGGGAAAGCCCCCCTCATCACCAAAGCAAAGGGAGCAAGGGGAGCAGCCCCTCCACCCCTTGACGAGGCAGGACTACCGGCACCGGAAACTGCTACGCCGCACCAAAACAGAAGATCCACCGGACCAATAAAGCAGCTGCAACATACACCAAAACAGAATACTAATGCGCACCAGCCCCCTCTGCTACCATCGAGCTAGCCTCCCCTGGAGTCTGCAGAGCACTTCCATGAAGATGAAGATGAGACCTCAGCCATACTGCCCCCTGATCTCTGTCGATTTTACCATGGGCGGCAAACTTCAAGCTAACAAGTAACAACTATGTACCTTAACGCAAGATTTTGGCGCTTTTTTCTTTATTTGGGGAGTGAAATTATAACTGTTGCAATCTTCTTAGAAACTCGATTTTTTTATTTCGTGTCGATCTTGATTTGGTTGATTGCTTTGTGATTCCGAGTTCTAGACAATATCTCCAAACATGTCCGCTAGAAGAAAATGCTAAATGCAGAGTCTTATGCTTCACAGGTTGAGCGTAGAGTTGGCTTAAGAAACATGTTTACTGATAATATTATTATTATTATTATTATTATTATTATTATTATTATTATTATTATTATTAGTCATTTAGTCCTTTAGGGTAGGGCTCAAGATCAGGTTGGTTCTTATTACCCGATCAAACTGGTCGGGTACTCGAGCTCGAAAAAACACAATATGAGGAATCAGACCCGACCTCAAAACGGTTATCAGGTACCGAGCACCGAAGTTGCGGTTATTGGTTCAGATTCAGTCACCAGAAAAAGCACATTAGAATCGAAAGCAACTTGAAAACAAAAGGTGTGTTCATGAGAAAACAAATAACCAGAAGCTGAAAAATTAAACATACACGTGGAACCACTTTCTTGTTCATGAGAAAACAAAAGGTGTGTTCGGAAATTTGTTGCAAAGCTCCTCCCAAGAAGTGATGGAATGATGGGGCTGACTCATGAACCACTTTTTGGATTCCCCAACCAGTGAAAAGAGAAAAAGATGCAGACGAATCATTTCCCTAACAGCCTCATTCACATTAAGCCATCAATCGGTAATAGGAATTCCTCCACAAGATGATGAGGTATTTCATCATTCGCCCCCTTGAACTCGGTAATCATTCTTGATCAAGGAAATCATACCTGACGTTATGTCGCATTCTTGTTCCATTAGGTCTGGGTATCGTATTGGAGACTGGATGTCCTTAATCTCCAGACAAGAGTAGGATCTCATTGTTTTAGGCCTTGGTGGAACTTGAGATTGTTGTTGTTGATCCGTCATTAGTGGAGGTTGATGTCTTGCAACTCTTCTTATGTTCCGAAGGGTTCTCTCGATTTCTGTATCCAGAGAAAATATCTCCAAAGAATCCCTTCTTTGCATACAAAGGTGCTACAACACACAAACTCAACAACTCGTGACACACAAAGTTGGATAACAAAACACAAAACGAAACAAACTACGAAGGTAACAAAAACACAAAACAAAACAAAGTAAAGGCTAAACTAACAGCTTAATGGTTTTCTACTATTACCAAGGGTCCCCGGCAACGGGGCCAAAAAGCTTGATGGCATTCATTTGTGCATATTATTGTCAATGGTTAGCACGTGTCAATAACTATTCCATCATAGGCCAAGTTTAACCTAAAATTGCATTGTCATATAGTGGCAATCAATGTCGTATTCACTCGGGTCCTGTTACCCTAGCCTACTTCCGACGTTGTTGTTATCTAGCCGATTTTAAATAAAGAGAAAAGCATATACTTTGGGTAACTATCCTTCGCCCTTGTTTAGGACTACTATGCAATGTCTGGATAGTTAGGGTTTGTCGAATGTGGTGAGTGAGCTATTTTCTGTGGGATTTCGTGGTTATCCACACGCCTCCCCTAAACCCAAGTAAGTCGCCTCGATCTAGGATATCGTATCTAGGGTATTAAGCTCGTAGCTCCTTTCAATGGGTACTACCCACCGTCAACACCGAGGTTTCATCACGGGTTTCATCTAGCAAGGCATTCCTATGGCAGGGGTTCGACCGCCTCGTCCACCATAGGATCCTATTCATACATCTAACCTCAATTTGCTTGATGGCGCATACCCGACTAACCCTAAAACTTCATACCTAGCGTACAAGCTCAAGTAGGCTAGTAAAGAAGATTAGGGCAACTTACCCAAACACAATCAAAGCTAGAAAAACATTCAAATCAACTAAACACATTCATTCATTAAAACCAAAAAATATTCATTCATTAAATAGTAACCCTAAAACTAGGGTTTTGGGTTTAAAACTCCTAGTACCTTAGAGGACTACTCCATAAAGGAGAGAAGAAGATACATAGAAGAGGTGGAAAAATGCTTGATGTTGAGAAATATGACTCCTCTCCTCTAGCTCCTTCTCCTTCTTCTTCTTCTTCTTCTCCTTCTTCTTCTCCTTCTTCTTCTCATCTTCTCTCTCTCTCTCTCTCTCTCTCTCTCTCTCTCTCTCTCTCTCTCTCTCTCTCTCTCTCTCTCTCTCTCTCTCTCTCTCTCTCTCTCTCTCTCTCTCTCTCTCTCTCTCTCTCTCTCTCTCTCTCTCTCTCTCTAACCAGAAATTCTATCTCAAAATCAGCTCCCTTAATGGGAAAAGGAGTCTTCTTTTTATAGGCATTAGAGGAAGGAAAAGTTCGCGGTCGGGAAGGGCAAAGATCGCGGGCGATCTTCTTCATGGAGGTCATGATCTTGCGACGCTGCCGTTTTGGCCTTTGAGGACAAGGAGTTCGCGGGCTGACTTCATGGTCGCGATCCACGAGTCGCGACCGCGAACTTTCTAGCAATCAATTTGCACTATGGCCGTGTTCTGACTAGGGAAACTCTATGTTTCTCCTCGGCTGCTTCTTCACAAAGTTCGCGCCCTGAGCCTTCAAATTCGTGGTCGCGATCTTGGGCTTCCATGCCGCGATCTTCACCTTGAGTTCGCAGGCTATGATCTCGGCCATGATCTTTTTCTCCAGGCTGCGATCTTCAGTCTTCTACCCCTTTTGCTACACTTGCGTCCTTTTTTGTACCTAATTCGCATGTATTGTCTAAAGTACCGTAAAATCACATCAAAATCAAATAGGAACGAAATAGGGATGCAATTGACACTGTTCAAACAATTATGGACATGAATTGACACGAAACAAACTTTAATATGAAGGGTAATAACACCAATTTAGGTGTTATCAATTATATTTTTTTGTCCTGTATTTTTTCTCACATAAATTGGAGATCCAATAAATCATTATGAACTCGTTCCTTCTGTGCAAATTTTTCAAAACGATTTATAAACGAGATACCAAATGGTATGAAGTTGGTAACGAGAGGTATGGTTTTTTTTTCTTAAAACATATTGAAAATGTATCTCATATCACAACGAACTCGTTTCATCTGCGGAAAAAAAATCCAAGTTAGAACGAAGAAGATAAGAGCAGATTTAAGAAAACTAAGAAAAATAAAAATCTTTCTCAACCTTTCGATCTGAATTTGCTGGGCTCCCTAAAATCCAAAGATCAGATTTAGTTATGGAAGAATGCATAACCAAGATTATACACCCTATCTTGAGCCCTAAAAGTGTGTCAACTCACGATTTATGGATCATTTCAGAGAACTTACCTTCTCCTATCAATTGAAACCGATACGAAACTTACCTTCCTCTATCAATTCAAACCGATACGAAATGAGATAGTTCAAATTGTCTCGCCCCAAATTGTAAGGGTCGTTTGGATGGGTCTTTTGTATGAAGCAATTTGACCCAATTAACTCAAAATGAGACAATTGAGCTAAATTGCCTCATTTGACATCACAAAATGAAAATGAGACATTTTGAATAGGGGGAATTACAATTGATCCGTTAGGGATCATTTAGAATTACTTGGGGTAAGGGTAGGAAATCTCAATTCACCCGTTTATTGGGGCCCTTTGCTTTTTATTTATTTTTCCTTCTCTCTATTGCCGAGACCCACCCTTCCTCTTCCTCTTCTCCTCTATCCTGCCGACTGTCCTTCTTCTCTTCTCTTTCCCCATCTCGCATATCCATCCAAACGAGGCATTGTGAACAGATTTCCTCACGAGATTGACTCATTTTAAAAAACGAGTCTTTTGGTGCAAATTGTCTCATTTTGAGAATGGTAAATGGTCCATCCAAACGGCCCAATTTTTGGCTCAATTGCTTATTTTGAAACAACTTAACCAAATCGTTTCATCGAAATAAAGCAAGACAAGTACAACAGTAAAACAATAGCAGCTCGGTCAAGTTTAGCTGAATCAACCAATACAACCACGCAGTAATATGGTATCCCGGGAATGTCATCATTATTGTTACCATTAAGAAAGCTAGGCACTTAGGGGAAGGGGGGAAATTATAAAACAGGATCTGAGCCTTCTTCACTGGCATCAATGACATATACTCGGGCCAAATAGGCAAATACCCTGTTCTACTAGCTAAACCCAAGCTAAAAATCTCGTTTGCAATAACTGACATGAATTCAAAACGAAGTTAAAGGATGATTGATTCTTCCATGGCAATGGTCCTTATTTCGCTTGGAGAAGCCATATATATAGCCGGTGAAAGCAAGACTGACAATCATAAGCACTCCTTTACCTTCTGAGCATCTAGAAGTAGTTGCTCTTGTAGAAGTTCTTGAGAAAATCGGACGTCCCTTCATCCTTGCTTCCTAAATCCTGCACAAGTCCTCGCTGGCCCACTACATATTGCCCAATGATATGGTGACGCTGCTTTGAGTGCTGCACAATGTTGTGCAACTCTTCTGTACCCTTCTGAAGCAGCATGTCAATCACCTGCAAGTTTTTTCTCCATCAGCGAGCAACAATACAGCATAATTTAGTGAGTGTCTCCAGATATGAATGTGCAGAAAGATTGATGATAACCAAGCTAATGCTTTCTCGCTACTCCAATCCATCTACGGACTCTGACGAACAGATCCTCAGGATTGCGCAGGAAAATTGACAAACACAGTTCAGATACACACGTTTGATGGAGCAAGAAAAAGAATGGTGCAAATGCAACAGACAAACGGCGGGAAGGAACCCAGCTACTTTATAGTGGTACTTATGCTACTGTCTCAACAACCCCAAATTATATGCATGCAAGCATTTCAGAATGCCTCTGTGCTGCCTGTTGCGTAAAGCCATTCAGCAGCCCAGTAAAAGTAACTCAACTAATTTTTTATAATCGAAATAAAGTGAATTGCATTTGGATTTGTTTTATCAATTAATTTGTCAATAGATGGCATAATTCAAAGATTTAGAGGATTCAATTCTACTTGCCAACAGTAAATGGATAGTGAGAAAGAGCCTTCTCCATCCCACATGTGGCTAGAGTAATTCTTGACCAGGGAGCACCAACCCATGCTTTACCACATCAAAAAAAATTCTAAAAAGATTGCTAGTTCACTTAGTAATGCATGTTCAGATCATGGTTCTTCTTTTTTGGTCATGAATAATGCTTCTTTCTTCTAATCATGGAAGTACAGATCATGCTGTTCCAATCGTGTCACTTCCAAAAGCTCGCAATACCAAAAAAAAAAAACACAACCCACTCAACTTGCCAGATGTTGATTTAAGCATTCTGTTAAGGAATTTTATTCAACTTGGTAGAAGTTTTTACTTGGGCACTATCAGTTAACAGCTTTCTTCGCCAACTTCCTTCATCTTTCAAGCAGTTCAACTTCGACAGTGCACACAGATTACATGCGCACCAACCACAATCTAGCTACATCAACCATCTGGTTAAGACGAAACCTTCTCGACACCATGGCCTATCTTCCATGGACTAATACTCTAAATCCGCAATTGCCACTGACTTCAGAAGGAACATAACAGTTACTGCAAGGAAACCCCATCAAACTAGGGACTAGGAATTGCATGGATAGATTAACCTAAACCAATACGACATAGATTAACAGGCAATAGGAACGACCCAAGCTGCCCCAAGTCCTCTCTCTTTCCCCTAAAGCATGGCATGAAACTTAAACCAACAAGGGAGCCATAACCTTTCAATTAATGGAGGACACTTGACTAACGTTGAGAGTCAGTCCACCCACGCGAAAAGCAAGTACATTTAAGAAGATTATGTGATGGTAAAGTCGCTTCACTGAGGCAATTCAATACTTAGGAAACAAAAGGCGAGATTGCGGAGGACGCCATAACCGCAGATCCCCAATTAGGGCAAAAAGCATTGGGAGCCATAAGATAGAAATGAGAAGAAGGGGAAGGAGAACCTTGGGATTGGTGATGTGAGCGTGCCTGCGGATCTCGGAGGAGACGGCGGAACGGAGCTGGGACTCGTTGACGACGTCCTCGAGATTGTAGATTTCCATGACGGTAGGGATGGATCGGCAGGTGGTTTTGAAGAATTCGAACACCCGAGCCCTCGCCTCGGCGAGGCTGGCCGAGTTCGCCTGCACCGTCACGAACTTCAACGAAGCAGCTGCCGCCCTCTCACCCATTTCTCCGATTTTTTTCTTGAAGCACTCCGATTCCGGTAGACTTGGTTCCCTCTCTCAATCCACACGACGGGGGTTCCCTGGACGTGAGACGATGGCTGGTTGCGGAGAAGCTCGTTTCGCGAGCGAACCTCTAGACTTATAATTGTTACGACGCAAGAGCATTTGGTGGTCAAAATGGCGAAACGACACCGGATGGTCTACACTAGGTTGTCAGACCGGTTTATACTATTGAGCCGGTTTAGAAAGTGTAATGGTTCAACTCGTGACACAGCCGGTTTATAGGGTTTAACAAAGTACGTAAGAATGTGAAATCAGGGTTTAGGAAGGTGTAGTTCTGCTTACACTTAGGCGAGCCTAGGTGCTAGATAGTGAGAGAACGTCTCGCCTAGAACCTAGGCAGACAATTAACATTCGAACGCCTAGGCACCTCCTAGACGGAGTTCCGCCGCGATTAATCGGAGATAGGCGGTCTGGTGACTAAAGAAGAAAAATAAATAAATGTATTAAAATGTCTCAAAACGACGTCATCCTTATGTTTGATTAGTTACTCCCAATAACCCATCCTACACATGCCTTCTTGTTTGATTGGAATATTAAAAAAATAAGTCAACATGGCTCTTTGAATTGCAACGATCTCTCCCATGCCCCAAAATTTAACGTATGCTACTAGAGTGCTTCTCGTCTCCAACATTGGTTGACCCGATGCTCTGTCTATTATTAGCTACCATCGATCGCTAAACAACCAAAACCACGTCGCCATATGTACTGATTCAGTTCATCTCCCATTTGTATCTAACTTCAGTCAACCCAACCTTCTGTCTTACTATATACCATTGCAGTATGTAAATTTTTTTGATCTCTTAAAATGCCTAGGCACTAGGCAAGACCCTAACGCCTGCCTAGCGCCTTCTTTAACCTTGTGAAAAATCACTAATATCAAATGAATTTAATCATGTATAAACCATATTTGAGGACAATTTACTTTCAGTTCATATTCATATTTAAATAAAATAGGATATTTCAAATTAAAATACAAATACTCAAATTTAAATACAACATTTAAAGTTAATATCAACATGTTTATACTTGAATCCAACAAATTAATCTAACATTTAAATTTAAAATTCATAAAATAAATAATAACTTAGTTTTTTATTAATTAAGTTCACCAAAATAACATCATTCTATAGTAAATTGATCATACTTAGTCAATATCATACTGGTAGTGTTCACTTCAATTTCATGACCCATCAGTTTAACAGGTACGACCGGCTCAGTTATTGCCAGTGCCACTGATTGATAGTTGATGCGGTTTGTATAAATTCACTAGTTTCTGTGTGGCTCTTTGGGTATGACGAACTGGTGTGTGTTTGTGACATAAGTTTGTCAATTTTCTAAAATAGAATCAATAACGGTAGGTTAGCTAATCTTAATATGAATTAACAACTAACAAGTATTTAGTGTGATTTTATGATATGAATTCACAAGTTCCTGGTATGCATTGTGTATTTTCACCTGGTACGAATTTTTCAATCTAGTATGGCACTTTCAACCTGTTGGGCCATAGGGGATCGCTGTCTAAACCAAGGCCCACGTAACCAGAGACGGCCCAAAAGGGGGAAAGCCCAAGGTAAGTAAGTCAAGGAATGGGCCGGCCCAAGGGACAAAGAGAACAGGTATAAGGCGCTACCAGGTCAGGCCTGCAGGAGGCGGGTAAGTACGACCAGAAAGGAGGGATCCACACCAATCATGCCATCACTGACACTTCATTAAATGCCGCCGCGAGCGTGTGGCACAGGAGCGGGAAAACACACGACTGACAAGACACTCACACCCACCACCTCGGACTATAAATAGCAGCCAACCACTTCATTAAATGGTAACTGATTTCAGACACTCTCTCTCTAAACTACTTTCTCTCTCCCTGTCTCTAACTTAGTCATCGGAGAGTGTTCGCGGGCTACGCCCCGGACCTTTTGTGCAGTGAACGCAGCACCCGCGCGTCAAGGAACAACGGTATTCTCCAAAGGTCTCTCCTTTCCCGCCTGGCACATTCTAGGCTTAAACAATTTGGCGCACACCGTGGGGCCGGAAGAGAATATCGTTCTCCTTGAAATGTCGGGTGACTCCATCACCCCTATGAAGGAAGTTGTCGAGCCTATCACGATGCGTGGTTTGTCGCCCACGGTCGAAGAGGAAATAGAGCTGGAAGAGAGGGTGAAAAGTCAAGGGGAGCAAATCACGCAAATGCGGAGCAGCATAAGTCAGATCCTGTCATTGATTAAAGAAGGAATAAGGCGCCCCGAGGCCCCAGGCCCGTCCTCCACGCCGGGGGATAGAGGAAAGAAGAAGATAGTAGAAGTTGAGTCAGAGGACGAGGAAACTGACGATGAAAGGCCGGAAACCGACCTGAGTTTCCTGGAAGAACACCTGCAAGCAAGCTTCGGGAAGGGAAGCGGGAAGACAAAGGGGCCGAGCATCCTACACAACCCCCTCTCAAAAAAGCTATTCCGGAATCCGGTTCCCCCAAACTTTTCATCGTTGGGCCTTCCGGCTTACAACGGGGACACCGATCCGAACGACCATCTGAGTGCCTTCACGCTGAAGATGCAGCTTATAAACGCCTCCGACGCGGACCTCTGCAAAGCCTTTCCGATAACCTTCGGAGGGCGGTGTCGCACGTGGTACACGGCACTCCCCGAAGGAATCATAGACAATTTTGAGCAGTTCGCAACTCTGTTCACATCGAAGTTTGCTTCACAAATCCGCAGGCGTCTCACCGTCACCGCGCTGATAAATTGCACACAGAGAGAAGGGGAGAGTTTGACGGCATTCTATGACCGATGGAATACCATCGCCAGTGAAATCCAGGGCGTGACCCCAAATGTGGCGGCGGGAAGTCTGAGAATGGCCTCCAAGAGCAAGGAGCTTCAACGGGCGTTGATTAAAAAGGAGCAAGACATCAAAACCTGGCCGGACCTGGACAATCTAGTTCGCAGAGTGATAACACTGGAGGAAGCATTGGTGGCAACAGATCGGGGAGGAAGAAAGGAAGTAAGAATGGGAAACAGATCCCCATTCCGAAAAGGGCGGTCCCCAGAACGGAACCACTATAAGGGGAAGGCGCGAGCAGGGGAGAACAAAAGAGAGGTATACACGACTGAAAGGGAGAAGGAAGACGCCCATCAACGCAGGCCCAGAGAGGAGGGGCCCCGCCGCGATACTCAAAGACGTCCCGAAGCCCCGGTGTTCAGAAGGTGGTGTGATTGGCACCAAAAGACCTCACATAACACGGTGGATTGTCGAGATTTCCAAATGAGCATCGCCAACCTTGCACCTGGAGATCTGAGGAGTAGACTGGAAGCAAAGAAACACGAGCGTGACGCCAGGTCGCCGTCACTCAGGCGTTATCGCAGTAGATCCCCCAGAAGGCCACGTTCAAGGTCGAGGGCAAGGAGGTCAAGAACACCCCGAAGGTCAAGGTCTCGCGATAGGGGAGGAAGAGAAAGGCTCCCATCACCTCCCAACGCGCCCCCACCAAGGAGGCAACCACGCCTAGACGATGACGACCTAGAAATTATCACCATCGCTGGGGGAAGAAAGCGACCCCGTGTCGCGAACCATGGAGAGGCGTGCTTAACCGTTTCTTCCTCACCTACCGCCGAAGTGGTGTTCGAAGCAGCAGAACTGGCCAGCCCGGAAGCAGCAGAAGACCCTCTTGTCATATCTTTCCGCACAGGGAAGTACAAGGTGACGAAAACGCTCATCGACAACGGAAGCTCCGCTGACATCCTCTTCTTCTCAACCTTGAAGAGTATGAAGAAAGGAGTCGAAGACCTCAAACCGTCCTCAACCCAGCTAGTGGGGTTTTCGGGATCGAAGATCAAAGTCCTGGGCATGGTCACATTACGCGTAACGATCGGGGAGGGGAACGTAACCAAGACCAAATCCATGGAGTTTTACGTAGCAGACTGTCCCTCGGCTTACAATGCCATCTTGTGGAGAAGCTTCCTTTCAGTCTTCGGAGCGGTAGCATCCACCTGTCATCAGAGGCTAAAATTCACAGTGGGAAAAGGAGTCGGCTGTGTCAAAGGTAACACGCAACAAGCTCGAGAGTGCTACCAAGCAACTATCAAGCAGCTGGAGGTAGATTTGGTAGATACAAGGGGAAACAACCCAAGACCGGAAGCGTTGGAAGGAGATGTAGCGGTACCCTTACGAGAGGATGAGCCCGAGAAAACGGTGCGCCTATCGGCCCACCTTCAACCCGACCTGGCAGCCAGCATGATCGGACTCCTCCGAGAGTTCGCCGACCTTTTCGCATGGGGGCCAGAAGACATGCCAGGCGTGCCGCGCAAACTTGCAGAACACCATCTGGCGGTGAAACCAAACACCCGCCCGGTAAAGCAAAAGCGGAGGAATATATCGGTGGAAAAGCAGATGGCGTTGGAAGAAGAGATACAAAAACTACTCAAGGCGGGCTTTATCAGGGAGGTGCGTTATCCCACCTGGCTAGCCAACCCGGTGTTCGTCAAGAAGAGCTCAGGCTTGTGGCGTATGTGCATTGACTTTACAAGTCTCAACAGTGCCTGTCCCAAGGACACATACCCGCTCCCCAGAATCGACCAACTCATAGACGCCACGGCGAACCACGCCATGTTGAGTTTCCTCGACATGTTCTCAGGTTACCACCAGATAAGCCTAGCAGAAGAAGATCAAGAGAAGACCGCCTTCATGACAGCAACAGGGAACTACTGTTGGGTGGTCATGCCCTTTGGCTTGAAGAATGCGGGAGCCACTTACCAGCGTATGGTGGACGCTGTGCTACGCCAACAGATAGGGCGGAATGTAGAAGCGTATGTCGACGACGTATTGGTAAAAAGCAAGGAGGTGGAAACACACCTACAAGACCTGAGAGAAACGTTCACGAATATGAGGGAGCATGGGCTGCGCTTAAATCCCACCAAATGCGTGTTCGGAGCTGAGGCGGGAAAATTCTTGGGTTTTCTGATTACGAAGCGTGGAATCGAGGCCAACCCCCGGCAAATTGACGCCATTCTGCAGCTGAAAGCCCCCAAGACTATCAAGGAAATACAAGCCTTTAATGGAAAGATGGCGGCATT